CACCTGGTTTAGTGTAATTTTCCCAGTGAATGACACTCGGCATGTTGTCAACCATATTGTAAACATGATTGTACACCAATCATTATGAAGATAGACAAACTGAATTAAGCTAGTTTGCTCGAATTGATTTGTCCACGTGGTTGACCTAATCTCACATAAGTGTGGGACCGACGTGGGACCTGCATGAAATAAAAAATGAAAAAAATGCTTCCCTCGCCCCGATGTGTGTGTTCTGTCAGGAAGGGTATGACACTGCAGCTCGATTCTAGACAAATTAGCCGAATTGAAACAACCAATTGGGACTTGGGAGCAACTTATTAATTCTCTTATTATTTTATTATTAATCATACTCTGCATATTTGACGTCACTTCTTTTCATTGTGTTTAGTTATTTTAAAATCATATCAGTCGCATCTCTTTATTCTTAGGATATGTTTAATAGGAGTTCTACTTCCGCCTTTTGTTTTAAGGATTTCTTGAAAAAGTCACACTAAGAAAAATATTTTCTATGCAAACAAAGCAGTTCCAAAAAATTCNACCTGGTTTAGTGTAATTTTCCCTGTGAATGACACTCGGCATGTTGTCAACCATATTGTAAACATGATTGTACACCAATCCACCAATCATTCTGAAGATAGACAAACTGAATTAAGCTAATTTGCTCGAATTGATTTGTCCACCTGGTTGACCTAATCTCACATAAGTGTGGGACCGACGTGAGACCTGCATGAAATAAAAAATGAAAAAAATGCTTCCCTCGTCCCGATGTGTGTTCTGTCAGGAAGGGTATGACAATGCAGCTCGATTCTAGACAAATTAGCCGAATTGAAACAACCAATTGGGACTAGGGAGCAACTTATTAATTCTCTTATTATTTTATTATTAATCATACTCTGCATATTTGACGTCACATCTTTTCATTGTGTTTAGTTATTTTAAAATCATATCAGTCGCATCTCTTTATTCTTAGGATATGTTTAATAGGAGTTCTACTTCCGCCTTTTGTTTTAAGGATTTCTTGAAAAAGTCGCACTAAGAAAAATATTTTCTATCCAAACAAAGCAGTTCCAAAAAATTCATTAAATGGACCAAAAATCAACATTTTAGTTCCAAAAATAATTTTTTGACTTTTCAAAAACCTTGTCGAGCCCGTAATCTAATGCAACATTTGGGGAAGTGCATAGGCTTGGGCTTGTTTCATCATAATATAATTGAAGATTGTAAATAAATAAGAGAACAATACATAAGTCTGTTACTATACCCCCATTTTATTTTTAAAAAACAAACTTTAAAAGTTCAAAACTCGATGGTAATTAATAAATATTATATATAAAATAAATTCTAATAAATATACATCTTGCAATAATGTTTTCATTTACCATTTTAAAGCGACTATCCAAAATAGCAAATCGCGAAGACCAAGCAAAATACAAAAGCCACATAAACCTCTCCGGAGCAAATATTATCCATTACCACCACCGGGATCTAATTGTTTGAAAATTATCATACTATTGAGATCACAATTTGGAAACTATCAGAAGATCAAACAAAGATAAAATTTACAAAGACACCCGGAGCAAATCACTTCAATTCTCACTGTCAAAATCTAGTTAATAAAAACCAGCCTAATGATGAGCTCACAAATTAGAAGTTGTCGACATTATGCATAAGAAGATTGAACAAAGAGAAAATTTATAGAGAATTCTCTAGAGCAAATACTTTCGATTCTCACCACCGAAATCTGGTTATTTAACCCAATAGACGATTAAGGTCACAAATTGGAAGTTGTTGACATTGTGTATTAGAATTTTTGAAGGCAATGGTAATAATTGAAGTTGGAGAAATCAATGGTCCATGACCAGTACTCTTGAATTTGTGACTAGTGTGACTTATGCACTATGACATGTGACCTGTAAACTGTTACATATGATATTTGATCCAATTGCCTATGATCAGTTCTATTGGATCTGTAAACTATAGACATTGATATGTTACCTATACAATATGACATGTAACCTGTACCATATGAACTATGACTTGTAAACTTGAATCTATGACGTGTTATCAGTGCACAAAGTGACATGATTTGTGGCCAGTTAAGTTTGATATTTGGCCTATACAATGTGACTTATGACCTGTAGAGTGTAATCTGTAATCTATGTAGTGTGACCTATAACATGCAAACATGATTTGTGACCGTTCTATTTGATATGTGACCTATAGATAATTATGTTTGACCTATACATAATGACCCGTGACTTGGTACATATGACCTATCATCGCCGTCAGCACCACCATCAGATATCAACACAACATTGACACACTGTTCACCATTGCTGCCACTACCACCACCTCTACAAACCCCCAAAAAAAAACCACCACAAAATCGTCAAAACCACCGCAAAACACCACAAAACCGTTGCAGCACGCTCAGTTTGCTGTTGCGCTGAAGCTCATAGTGGCAAGAGTGGAGAGGATAGAAAGAAAAAAAGAAAAAAGAAAGAAAAAATGAAAATGGGTTTGGAGTGGATTGGGGTGGCGTGGGGTTGGGTGGTAGATTAATTGAATTTATAATATTGTTATTAATATTAACTATTGAATTATCACCTGATTTATGGATGTTTAAATCTTAAATCTGATTTTTGAAGTACAATCTTTAAAATTCTATCCCACTGTAATTTCCACTATAAATTAACTTATAATTCTCCTGTTTTCATGATATCCTAATATTTCGAGATATTGCTTGATAAGAAAAGGTTCAAACATCGACAACAAGAAGGATGGTCGGGGTCTTCTTTTCCACGAGTTGGCAATGGTATCTTTTCCTTCGGACTTTCCCCTATCTCAGTTTAGGCGAATGGCAAAACTGTGAAGAGTATAAGCTACTCTTGACATTGAGAAACATATGCAAAAGTAAATAGAGAAGTATGTATTTGATGGAAACTTGAAAGCCAACGGCCAGAGGATTCAAGGAATATAGATCAATCACATTTCAGGCTAATTGTATCATGCACAAGCAAACTGGAGTTGCATATCCAAATTATGGCTAAGATAAATGAATTGCAATCAAATTTTATTGAACATAAGTGCGGATAAGACAAATCACGCCTTTTAAACTTATCAAACTCTGTTCTTAGTGCCCAATCGTGACAACTATGAATCACTACGACAAAACCAAGTTTACAATGGTACACCAGTCTTTAATTAAGTGAAGAACCAAAAACTACATAGTAACAATTCACATTTTTGCCGTCAAAAAACACAGGTTTATAGTAACATAAATAAGCATGACCTTCGTCTGCACTACTTTGCATAGAGCAATAAGAAATTTCAAGAGAGAAGCTCGGAGATTTTAACCCCAGATATCCTCAATATAGGTAAAGAAAGTAAAATACTGGCATTGCTTCAAGGTATAGAGCAGTTAATCACAGAGAATATCAATGGGGAATCTGCACCAGCTCCTGCTTGTTCGATTCCATGGGTTCTTGTAAAGCTGGATTGATGGGAAACAGCATGCATTGTGCATATTGCGCCATAAGTTGATCAACTAGCACCAGTGCTACAGCGGCTTCCACCATTGGAACAGCTGCATCATAACCATCGGGCAGGTGAGTGGCTTAAAAAGTTCATTAATGCTTCTATAGTTTCTTTGTCTAAATAACGGCTTCCTAGATATAGCCAACAAGTCATTATATATATAGTGAAACACGAATTATGCCAATATTCCCTAGGCACCACCATACTTTATGGAAAACTTCACGACAACTTACCAAGTAGTTTTAGGGTTATAGCCAATAATTAGAACATAGGGACCAGAATCCATCAAAAGAGTAACAATATGGTGTTATTCAGATGGAATGAAAATTAACTTGGACAAAAGGTCTAGGAATCAGAGACAAACCTCGCGGAACAACACAGGGATCATGACGACCTCGGGCTATGAGCTCTGTTTCATGTTTGTCTCTAGTCACTGTGTTCTGTTTCCTCTGCATCAAAATAGAAATGATCTTGATGAGCACTCACATGAATACATTAAATGTATCCAGTCAGTGAAACTCATTACTCTAATACTGCTGCATGTGAAACAATTGACGTAGCTCAAAACAACATGAAAAGTTCTGCTTAAGTTCATGCATCAAATGAAGTTGAACGCCATAAGAAAAGTACAAGGAAGCTGGAGGAAGGTGCTACAATCTATATATACATGTTGACTCAAGAAACAAAGGTAGGTGACGTACAAAAGTTAACTACTATAGGGGAAGTCAAAGCATTTTAGTTTATTTTTTCTTTTGACTCGTCGTGCACATCCATTTTGAAATGTATCTGGAGGGCTGGAATACATTTCATAATTTTATTTGGTAACTCATCTAAAATTAATATCACTTAATGTCTTTGCCATTCACGGATTAATGTGGACAATAATAAGCTACTATACATGAAAATAATTACTCAATTTGACATTCCAAAAGAAAATTAATTATTCAGGCATCTTGGAAAACATTCTCGTCTTGTTGAAAACCTCATATAAAAGATTTGGTTATTAGAGGGCATATAACTTATTTATTTAAATTATGTCTGCAATATGCCCCCTTTCATGCAAGGAGACTTGGAACTCATAATATCTGTTTACATACAATATTGAATCACCTCGTTTTAAAGCTTAAGCTATTAGAGAGGGGATAAACTTATTGGAATTAAATCTTAAATAAGTTCTCATATTCATAATCCACGTATCGAAATGGCATTTCTCAGGCTTCAGGTAAAGAGTCATATGCATAAGAAAGTACCACATAAAAGCACAAGGAACAGAGGGAGTTTGTGAATGCGTTGTACGGGGGTGGGGGAGGAGGGTAGAGAGAGAGAGAGAGAGAGAGAGAGAGAGAGAGAGAGAGAGACAGAAATTGTAGACGTTGGTTTGAAACCTATTCTCATATTAATGATTTCTCCATTTGATATTCCACCCTGCACATGTAAATGGAATCATTGGAAAAGAGGAAAACTGAAAAATGATAAGCATTTTTAAAGTCTAAATATCATATCCAGATATGTTGTCAAACTTCAGGTTTTTAAAAGAACTAGAACCAATACCTGTATACCACCAGATCGGTTGGTTTTAGTCCTGATTCGGCCGTTTCGTTCCATATAGAATTCATCATTGTGCTCACTACCAGTCATGAATGTACCTGGAAAACTAGAGATGCGTCATCTGTCTCTCCTAATAAAAGGTGCTCATCTAAATGTTAAACATGTTTGGAAGAGCTTAAATTTTAATTTAAGTTCATTAAGGGGTTGTTTGAGTCCCATTTTTTGGAATAGCAGATTTTGTAATAATGATTTTTTGGAGAATGTATAGTTAAAAAGTAGGAAAAGTTTTGGTTTTATGTTTAAAATTATTTTATTGGGAAAATGTGTGATCGAAAATGAGTTTGAGAAAAAAATGAGTTTTCAAAGAATGGCGCTCAAACAGGGCTAAATATACTTTTTATCTCGACATTCTATAGGACTCACGGTTTATAAGCACTTAAAAGAAAAAGAAAAAAAAAAAACTTGAGCTTTGCCAATCATGCACTTAGCTGGACACAAATCAAAACTGAAAACTAGAACATAGTAAGTTTATAAACCTGCAAATCCACTTCCAAACTCAAATCCCTTAGTTGCAGGTAGAGACATAAGAGCTTTGGCCAGTTCTGCTTCAAGTTTATCAAAGACTGGAGAACCAAGCCCCTAACAAGGAACAAACAGATTTTTCAGGGAATTTCCAAAATAAAAGAATGATTCATGAGCACAAGTCTTCAGCACCATAACATTAACAAGATAGAGAGGGGGTGGAAGGCGGGGGTGAGGGTTGAGGAAGAGGAAGAGGAAGAGGGGTTACCCGTGGAACATTTCGAACAATGCAGGTGACAACACCACCAACAGAATCACCTCTCACTCTAACAGCATCAATTGCAGCAATCATTTTTTCCGCATACTCAGGATTTGGGCACCTTACAATATTATTCTCAATCTGGCAACATTTGGATAGTAAAAGGTTTCAATGGCTTCAACAATTTATCATTAAAATAACCTAATCTAGTGGCATAATAAACAAATGGAGCCTAGGATGTTCATGTGATGGAGCACAACCCACTGGGAAACTACGATTTTTAGTAACTTTGTAACTCAAATTCATCATCAAAGAGAAGGTTTTGAAAATTTTTATTTTCATTGTTTGTTTTTTAAGAAAACCTGAATCACATTTATCAGAGAAAAGTAAGTTGTCTAGTACTTCTGTAACTCCATTCATCACTTAAGAGAACATGTTGAGCAGTTTCTTTTCATTATGGATGTTTTAGGAATTCCAAATCACTGTTACCAAGGAACAGAACCCTTAACCAATTGCAAATTTCTAACAGTTAATCAAACTTGTGTTAAAGTAGGAGATACAAATCAATTTCAATCTTTCCTGTAGATTCCCCAGTTTCAATCCATGTGAGTACAAAAACTTCAAAGGGAGAAAGCCAACCTTGAAAATAAGTTTTTGTGCAATTCAGTATACATTTTTTTCTTCCTTGGGTGCAATCACGAGTTTCTGATGAATTCATTAAACTAGACTCATCCAATATCTAAAAAGTCTGATGCCAATACTTCAACTAGTATGTATCGTGCCTTGTGTCTTCATGTCAGTTGCTACATAAAATGCCTCCATGGTTGCAACACGAAGTCAAGAGGCTCATTGATGGAGATAGCTGAAAAGCATAGTCAGGATATATCTCAATTGTTGTGTTTTACTCCTCCTATGGACGATATTTTCACAATTAATTTATTCATTTTAGTATATTTACCAATTTTAAAATTACTGTCCTAAATAACAGATGTCACCTGAACTTCAATCAGTTGACCTAACATGTGAACTCGTGACCCAGGTGAGCCATTGTTGAGATGTTGTTTTGGATAGCTGAAACCTAATCTCTGTGCTTTCCCTAGTTTGAACTCCTCCAGGGTAATAATCCAGAAGGAAGTATCCCATGAGAAAGTTATAAAACCCCAAATATGATCTGAGATAAGACAATCAATTTGATGTCAAATATTTTGACTCAAAGCCAAGACCAATATAAATTTGGATGAAGACCTCTATGATGTATCCTTCATAGGGTGGATACAGAAATAACTAGGAAGACTAGGTAATGATCAATGCTGGCAACTGTGGAATTACACCTTTTTTATTCTTTACCAAGAAGAAAAAAGAAGAGAGAGAAAGAAACGTGGGACGTTGAAGGTGGTATGTATTGATGTTTCTTCTTAATCGCTACCATTACAAATTTTCAGACTTTCAGATGTTCTTAGTGCAAAATGCTTTTCCCGTCTATAGTTTTTAGAAGATGCAAAATAAATAAATTAGACCTTGCACCATATTTTAAAGTTGTTATTTACTTGAAAGAATCAAATTAGACAGATATATTTCTTTTACCCTGCAGTTTCTCACTCCAAATGATCTCTATAAAGGCACACACATGTTAAACCTAAGGTTAATTGGTAAATGATGGTGAGAAGCTATGAGCTTGATACATAGTTCAGGCAACGGACTGGAAATTAAACTAAAAACATCTGAAAAGGAGAATAGGCATGCACTGCAGATAGACTTAGGAAAGCTTTACAGACTATCCCAAAGTGCATGTGAGTATCACTACGATCACAATAGGGAAATATTAAATGGCAATGCATGTATGATATGCAATGTATAAGAGTCCATGCTACCTAAGACGTGCTCCAATGTACATGAGGATGTCACTGATATTTACAATACTTCAATATAAACCTACACAGATAGATATTTATACCTGATCAAGTGTCACTGTTTCATGATCAACCAAATCTTCAGGAAGGACAACCTTGTGTACTTGTGAAACATAAGCAATAATCTGCCACACAAAACATTAGGAAATTAAAGAATGGCACAGTTGAGTTCATCTACAAATATGCAATCTACGCATCTTTTTTAATCATAATGTGACTTGAATAGAACATGACACTCTGAAATGAGACATGAATATACAAGCAACGATTACTACACACCCACAAACATTTATAATTATCCAGTCATGTCTAGCATTCTAAGTTCTTAGATGCCAACAAACTAAAATGTGTATAGGAGAGGAATTCCACATGATTTTTTTTCATAAAGTCATCCATGTACAGATCAATATTTTAAAAATGTCAGGTCTAAGTAAACCACTAATGAATTGAGCCTCCTTCACAATGAAAATGAAAATCAATATATAAAACACTAAAGATAATTTCAGAAGAAGAATAATCCAAAATGCCAGAATGAACACTCCCTAAAAGTTAATAGGTTTATACACAAGAAATATGGGCATGCATTGTTTACATTAAGGTCAAAATGCATATCTGAATTAGGGATGACAAAAAAACCCGACAAACCCGATACCTGCGGGGACCCGCCCCGAATGGGGAGTGAAAAACCCGCTTAAAGGGGTAACAGGGCGGGGATTTTTTCCCCGGGGCGGGGACGGTTAACGGGGTCCCCGCCCCGCCCCATTAAAAAAAA